GGTAATCGAGCATGGGGATTCCGAATACAATATTGGTTTTCAGGATTATCGATTACTTTTATCGATTTTATCGATTTTTTTGCAAAGTTTGAGCTACGGGGCTGGGAGTTCGCACAGGGGGGTAATCGAGCATGGGGATTCCGAATACAGTATTGGTTTTCGGGATTATCGATTACTTTTATCGATTTTATCGATTTTTTGCAAAGTTTGAGCTAGGGGGCTGGGAGTTGGCACAGGGGGGTAATCGAGCATGCTGATCATCCCCAAGGGGGGTGATCAGCATGCTCGATTACACCCCTGTGCCAAATTCCAGCCCCCTAGCTCAAATTTTCAAAAAATCGATAAAATCGATAAAAGTAATGGACGATCTTGAAAACTAATATTGTATTCGTAATCTGCATGCTCGATTACCCCCTGTGCAAACTCCCAGCCCCGCAGGTCAAACTTTGCAAAAAATCGATAAAATCGATAAAAGTAATCGATAATCCCGAAAACCAATATTGTATTCGGAATCCCCATGCTCGATTACCCCCCTGTGCGAACTCCCAGCCCCCTAGCTCAAATTTTCAAAAAATCGATAAAATCGATAAAAGTAATGGACGATCTTGAAAACTAATATTGTATTCGTAATCTGCATGCTCGATTACCCCCTGTGCAAACTCCCAGCCCCGCAGGTCAAACTTTACAAAAAATCGATAAAATCAATAAAAGTAATCGATAATTCTGAAAACTAATATTGTATTCGGAATCCCCATGCTCACTTCCCCCCTGTGCCAACTCCTAGCCCTGTAGGTGAACTCTGCAAAGAAAACGATAAAAATCGGTAAAATCGGCATCGATCGGTAACGAAAAGTGGACTGTGACACCCGCCGGGGCCCGAAGTGTATGTGTGCCAAGTTTGGTCCGGATACGGCGGAGCCGGGTAAGCCAGCTAGTGTTTTTATAAATAAAATTTGCTGGTCTTAAGTGATGATAATGGAAATCGTTCAAATTGCTTCTTGCGCTGTAGAATAACATTCAAGGGCCACAATTACGTCAAGCATGGTTAAGCTATTCTTCCAGTAGACTTTAGTCCAAAGTGCTTAGCTTTTGGCAATGCTGGCTACTCTCAACCTTGCAAATTTCTCGAAGATAAAAATAGCTTTTCTAACCATTTTTACCGTTTTGAAATCAGCTCTTTTAGCTCTTTGTGATGATATGCAGCTTGAAGTGATTGGCCACTTCGAATTCGCGTCTCTAAAGTGAGCAGAGTGTCAAGGTTCCTGTAAAACTCAGCCTGTTAGTCAAAAGCCAAACACTCACCTTTTAGATTACGCCGACGAGGTTTGATGCGAGAGCGAGATGACCACTGACCGCATAAGGGGACCATATTTATAGCAGAAGACAAGGTCAGAAGAGCTGACCGAGTAGGGCGCGAGCCCACATGTGATACTAGGCATTCCTCTTTGCGATTCATTGTTCTGCTTTTCGCATGAATCCAAAAAGCTTCCAGACATTTGCGAGCTGATGTTTGGGTTTTGTGTGCCAGGATTCTCACCGAAACTCCGAAACGTTTCTAGATTCGGTGATGCCCAGAGGAGTGGGTGTGCGCGGTTTATCCCTGCCATCCAAGTGTTTGATGCGAACACAGAGGGAGAGCGCCGTCTCACCTCTGTATTCTTCACCGCAGTCGTCGCAGGAGATCATGTAGATGCCCCGGTGGTCATGCAATCCTCGTCTCTGCCCAGTGGGCATATAATGCAGTTTGGCGTGATGCAGGGGCGCTCGTAAAGACGATCGCAATCAACAAGCTGTTTAAATTGTCCGGAGGCAAATCTACTCGTAACTGAATAATTATTTTAGTAGGAGTAATTGTTAGATTAGAGGAATTATTGTTCAAAGATTGAGGACTTTTTCGGGACACCTCGTATACAGTCCTAACTTGATGTCATATGTTTGTCCCTGCGCTACAAGCCCTTTGTTTATTCAAACCTTGCATACGAATTCTGCGCGATTTGTAAAAGAAAACGGGAACATGTTAGTCGTGTAGTTAACTTTTTAAGAGTACGTTCTATTTGAAGGCAGTGTCTTAATATTTGGATGTCGGTGTTTTTGCATATTATAAGTCTTTTCGGTCCGCTTCAACCTTAAGTAGGTTCAAATTAGATCAATTTTCCCAAAACCCCGTTTTTCGAAGGACCCACGGAGGCAACCTGGACGAGATGTGCCTTGCTGCTCTAGCAAGTCCCCGCAGGTTCATACATGCAAGAAGAAGGATTTCGCTTGGAAGACGTGTTGAAACACGAAAGAGGAAAGCGACTGTCGACCATCGCGGGCCAAATTGCCCTTTTGGGGCCACTTCGAGCGCAGTTTTCACGGAGTGGAGGGGGCCGACTCGAGTCAGACTTGGGCAACCTATCCAGGCCCCCCCCCCCCTGACTGATTCTGTGGAGTCCCGCACTACCTTAATTTTGGTGAGACACTGCCTTCGAATGTTGCTTACATGCCTACTTATGTTTTTCGATACCTCCTTCCTTTTTGCCACAACGAAATTCAGCGTGCTTCCACGACATCTGCGCTTGAGCCTTAAAGGCAGTGTCCAGGCAAATCTGGGCATACGGGTTTTTTGCCTGGAAATTGATGAGGAGGTTATAGCTAAGGCACTGCTCAAACCGCAGCGCATATTGTTCGTTCACGGCTGAGAAATCCATCCCAAACACTCCGCGGCTGCGCCGTGACCGTAACACTTAGGATGGGTCCTAGCGCGAACGTAGTGTTGAAGTGAGAGAAGTCGTTTTCGGCTTACGGTCACGGCGCAGGCTTGGGGTTTTCAGGGACGGATTTCTCAGCCGTGAATGAACAATTTGTGCTGCCCCTTGGGCAGTGTCTTAGTTAGGACCCCTTCATCATTTTCCAGACGAAAAACCTATGCGCCCAGATTTTCCTGGACACTGCCTTCAAGCCGATAATTTAGCTAACATCATTTGTTACATGATGTCTCAAGCTCAAACTCAGAACTCGAGAGTCAAAAGGCGGCGCTTACTTTTAAGCTCATTGAGTCTGACCGTTGATAAGGCTCTACAAAGTTTTCTACTGACGTTGTTTACCGCTGTGTTCAAAATACCGCATTTCCGAAAATAACTGGTCAAGAATCAATGGGAAAGATAGAATTTTTGAAGTGGCATACTTGAGCAAAAGTAACAGTTAACTTTTCAGCATATTCACCAACTTGTACAGCTTCATACCTTCAGCAATGGCCCATGCTGAGGGCATGCTCATACTACGAATAGAATCTCAGTTTGAATGTTGTCTGCTAACAATTGAAAGAAACCCTAAACAGAAGAATAAAAATATGGATAGGCTGTAAAAATTTCGTGCTGTGTTTGAAACCTTGGGGAAGGCCTTGAAACAATTTACTTATCACCGTAATCACTTCAGTGAATGCTCCGTTCACAATCCGTATTTTGCCTGGGTGTTGACCATATCCATATTTGTAGCCAAAATAATCCAAGACTTCTTCAAAAGGCTGATTCTCCCATCATTTTAATTGGTGTAACGTTCTTATTTAAAATTGTTACCAGCAGCAATGAATATTCAATCCATTGCTCAAGAACGACATGAGTACATTCATTGCAGCCCACTAAAGTACGGAGCAGTGACGTCGTATGTCGAATTCATAAAAAAAACAGTATGTATATGCACCCTTTCTCACCTTCTCTTCCCCCCCCCCCCCCTCCCCCACACATTTTTTTCATTGAGACCCAGCTAGAAGATTTGCAAGACTACGAAATCAAGTCGAAGATATAAAATTTACGTACAAACCTGAGATCTAGATTCACTCAGTAAAGTATAGAACATATAAAAAGGAGTCCTAATCTCGATGAACCGCACTGGACACATAATAATTTGTTTTCTGATTTTCATGGTTTTCGAGGTTGATATCTCTTTGCTATTGCAACAACACCGAAATACACATTTTTGCAGATTTTTTTCGCATTACATGAAAAAATTTTGTGGTATCAGAATGATGTTGTCAGGGATCGTCTAAGAATAAAGGGCCGGGCATACTTCACGCGATATCGTCGCGAGGCGATTTGGCAATTCGCCAGAAGTCTTCACATTCAATACTAGCAAACTGCACATGCATAATGTCTATAACTTAGGATTGATAGAATTTCTTATCTTCTGCGCATTTAAAATGTGCCTACAGCGAGTTATATACAAATGGAATTTTGCCAAATCGCATCGCGACTGAAATTGAAGTATACCCGGCCCTTAAGCTCCAAAGAAAGTTATTTCCACACTTGATTAAACAACTTGAAAACAAAATTGAATGCATTTTTGAGACTTATTCACATTCAATCATTCTTCATTTTTGTGAGCTTGAATTCACTGCAAAATCTTCCGATATTGTTCTGGAAATTGTGATTTTCGATGTTGGAATGACTACAGTGTCCATGATTGAAGAGGTTCTAAGCAAGGATGTATGTATAGAAATGTAGCTGAAAATGATGCTAAGGAAAAGTGCATGCGAAAGGTGCGGTACTTCGTTCTCACTGCCCATGGTTTGTTTTAGGATTCTAGTTCAAGTTGTTTTTGCCATCTGACCGACTTCTCCTGAATAGAAGAAAGTTGCGGGGCATATTCCTTTCAAAATAAGGGAAATTCCGTATTTGCGATTGAAATTTCATGCTTTTCGAAGCTTTATCATGCACCAATATCATTTGCACCTGCAACTTCTTAGAATCAAAACATTCCAAGTCTTTATACGAGAGTCGCAAATGTTCAAAAAATCAAGATCAAACAACCGACCATGATCCAGATAGGTCGAGTTTCACTCATATATGGTGTCTATATATGAGGTCCGCTAAACCAGTTATGTACTAAAATACCAAATTTTATGGGAAGTGGAATCAGAACTTTGATGCTGGGAATTCTCCTTGAATTATCGCATAGGAATTAATTGAAAATCTCGATCGACAGATTGATCTACAGGCGGGAATATTTTTGCACATTGCGGGGGGTATTCGATCGTATGGCATAGCGCCTAGAATTCTTTTCTACTCACCTCGATGCCGACAACTGCCTATGTTTTACTACTAGCGCTCTACTCGGTTCAGGTACGTTTTTTTTTTATTCTTATTTGAAAATTCGCTTTTTTTGGAGAAATTACTATACATGATACTGCTACCTGTTATCTTCGAGTTATATCATACCGTAAAATGTCGAATTGCTTGCGTAACTCAAGATAACAATATTTCATCTTTAAAACCTAAAGATTATTGGCTTGGTAATAATTAAGTAGTAATCTGCTATCAATCAAATGGAAGTGCATGCTTCAATAAAATCTTTGTCAAACAATCTATGGCTAAGCTTATGCTTTCCCTTGGATATGAATTTGGCTAGCGCATGGAGGATTGATAGAGGACGGGTTGAAAATGAAAACAAAATATGTATACTTGAAGCATCTTTTGAGAAGAAACTGTGAATATCTGCCGCAAATAAGCCTGCACTATCAACAAATCCTAATCAACTCATTCGGTTTATATATAATTATTCCATGATTTTACCCAAATCTGAGTTTCCCAAGTTGTTTCTAACAATAAATGTCACTTTTAGGCACTTCCCGCAACTCTAACACCCTGCAACAACGAAACTCAATTTGATTGTGAAACAACTAGTGACTCAAAACGATGTATCCCGTTGGAATGGTTATGTGATGGACTAGAGGATTGCAAAAATGGCCTGGTATGGAGCTATTCTTGCATTTATTTTTTATTTCAAAAAGGTCAACAGGATGAATCTCACTGTAACTACCTGCACGAATGCCCACGAGGAGACTTTATATGCCGAACGGGTGAATGCATCTCGGGATCGTTCAAATGCGACGGAGAGGTGGATTGTCCCAGAGGTGAAGATGAAAAGGGTTGTGACTATTCCCACCAAATGGTAGCGGCAGCGGCAAGGTACGGATTTTTCGTTGCAGGATTTTTGACACCTTAGCTATTTCTCTTCAGAATTTTTAGCTCGATCGTCATGGATTGTCCTGAGCATATGTTCCATTGCTCTCTCGGCCCATGTGTGGCGAGGAGGTACATTTGCGATGGAGAAAAGGTATATAATTAGGCGATGTAGCAGTGTTTTTACGTTGCCGACAACATTTGCGCGTAATGACCAAATTGTGCCCTTTGTGGCCATTATTGCGCATGTCGAGAGCAAGTTGAGAGCATGACAATCGTTTTCGCACAAATGTTGCCGTTACTGCAAGGCATTGTTGATTATCGTAAGCTGCCCCATCTTCCTTTAGGATTGTCCGCTGGGAGATGATGAGGACGACTGTACCAAGAACAAACGCTCAGAGCTCCGAAGTCATGAGCTCACCTCATGTGAACCGGGTCAAATTCTATGTGCGGATCATACAGCCTGTTTCCCAAAGAACTGGGTATGTGATGGAGAAAAGGATTGTCTGGATGGAAGTGACGAAGAAGACTGCGAGTTGTCCGTAGATAACTTCTTAGCTGAGACTGTAACGGAGTTATGCAAAGCTGGAGAGCATAGATGCAGAGGAGGTACGGTAATGCCCAATTCTGGATATTTTCGGTATGTAATCGTTAACCATTTGATCTACAGGTAAGGTCTGCATACCTTTGAATCACACCTGTGATGGGAATACCGACTGCCCGGATGGAGACGATGAAGGGCTACTTTGCAACGAATGCAGCACAAGAAAAATCCGCTGTGAGCATAAATGCGTTAATACACCGCTGGGTAAGTTTATCCGAAGTAAAAAATTCGAGAGAGTATACGTTTCAATTTCCGGTTCCCACTGTATTTGTCCCCATGGGTCGGAGCTGAACTCAGATGAGCATACATGCTCTCAGATCAACGAATGTGAAACTCCAGAAGGAAAACGCTGTCAACATTATTGTGAAGATCGACATGCTAGGTTAGTTAACAGCACTTTCCTACATTCAGTAACAATGGAGAGGATCATGCCAGAAGGGGTGTGGCACTAAGTACCCGCTATCTTTCACTCTTGTGATGGGGCATGCTTCACTACATACTGGGAATCATAGTTTCATACCATTACATGAAAATCACACATCTTGACGCTTTAGACAATTTCCTCCAGCATGATCAAAAGAGTGAAAAGTTGGTTTTTTGTCTGTTATATGATAATCGCTAAAAAGTGGTATGACCCTACAGACCAGCCGTTTAAAATTGGAAAACGCGTTTCTTTTTGCTTAGGTCTGCCATTTTTCCCCATATTCGGATCAATTCATAGTTTTTTGGAGTGCGTGATGGGCGTATTGGCGCTGTAAACCAAACCTACTTCTGTCTCTTAATCGTACTAGAGGAATTTTACAAACTTATAACTCCTCACTCCTTCGCCCACCCCCCCCCCCCTTCAAAGAGCTGTTAACTCTCTCTATCACCTCTCATTTATTGCTTTAAGCTACGAATGCACATGTGCACCCGGCTACCGCCTTGCCTTAGATGCTCACAGTTGTCGTCTAGACCGAACTCATGAAGGGATGCTCTTCGTTGCCCTTGGACATGAGGTAAGTTACCTTTGTTCAGGGGATTTTACCTCAAAATCTGTATTCCAGGTCCGTTCCATGCCACTGTTTGATTCTCGCACATCCGTAGCTGGATATGAAACTATACAAGCCGTTGGATCTCTGGGAGTGGTCCGATCTGTGGATTATCATATATCAGAGCAACTAGTCTACATAACTATAGCTAGCTCGAATCTGAATGGGGAAGTGGTGAGTGCCTCGAGAAGGGAAGAGAGTTCGAAAATAATTACATAATTTCAACTGATCTCTTGTAGGCAGTATCGTCTGAAGGTCTTCTACGAGTTATTCGGGAAAATGTGGCAGGAATTGGACAAGTGGCTGTTGACTGGATTGGTGGCAATATTTTCCTGTCCCAAAGATGCAAGTCCTCATTCTTCCCTGGGTTGCGATACTCTAAGAGAGCTACAATAATCTTTTCACTTTACAGACCCGTCGCTCACTCCAGGAATCAGCATCTGTACGGAGGATGGCTTTTTCTGTCGAAGAATAATCAAAGGAAAACCTGCTGATCCTATCGATCAAGGGAAAAAGCAACAATACAGAGGTACGAAATTGCTGTGGCAGAGAAAATTATGTCGCTGATAGGCTTCGCCTACGCAGACAGCTGGCACGAGCTGTTTTGCGGAGGGGTTGCGTAGAGATACTCAGACAGCGGATCGGACCCCTCCGCCGGAGAAGTGGCAGGGTCGCGGCGTATCCCCAGCGGTGGGTCTCCCATTTGTCCGGCGGAGCCCTCCCATTTTCTGCTCCGGATACCTCCCATTTCTGCTCCGGATACCTCCCATTTTCTGCTCCGGATACCCCCCATTTTCTGCTCCGGATACCTCCCATTTTCTCCGGCGCGTCTCTTCCAAATTTAACGGACACGCGCCGCGCAGATCTCTGCGGCGCGGAGTCCGTCAAATCTGGCAGAGTCGCGCCGGAGAAATGGCGGACCTTTGCAGCAGGGCCGGAGAAGCCTCCCATTTGCCTGCCAGTGATGCCGCCGCGATGGACCGCCCATTTGCCCTTCTCTCATTGGTCAACTGGGTCCGGCGCGACCCTGGCAGTTTCCGAGGGTCCGGCGGAGGGGTCCCGTCGATTGTCTGAGTACCTGGTTTGTGGCAGATGTCGAGCTGGACGTATCCTGTCGGCGACAGAACGTCCGCTACCCCTGATTCTGTTGTCCATTTGATTATACAAACTAATCTGACTTAGGACTAGCCCTGCACCCACAACGAGGTGCTATGGTATGGATTGAATCTTATGGTAGCCACCATAAGATTGTTAGTGCAAATATGGATGGCACAAATGTGAGGAACCTGGTCGAAAACAAACTCGAATATCCAACTGGATTATCGATCGATTTTATTAAAAGCGATGTTTACTTTGGTGATGTGGAAAGACAAATGATTGAGCGTGTGAATATGGATACAAAAGAGAGGTTAGTCATAAATTGTTTCCAAACAAACGATCTAAATGACTGCGCAGATGCAATCAATGAAATTATACAGAGTGTCCCAAAAAATGTTAACACTGTTTGATCGTTACTAACTCTGTTGCTTTCATGTCTTTCGCCGAGCTCGAGGCAACATCCTGTAGGGTGAGGTTCAACTTAGATTAACAGTCTGAAGCAAAACTCCGATCTCCCTTCGTTACTGTATGATTACGGTAGGAACTTCCAGCATATGGATCCACTGTGAAATATGCCATTTGACAAAAAAAATTTTACCTGAAAATCCTGTACTAGGGTTTTCGCACAGCTGACTCCACTACATGACTTTTTGCGAGTATTTTTAGCTTTTTTCACCGTGTAATCACATTTTTGACAAATAATGGAAATTCATTCATTGAGGTTTACCTGGGATAGCCCTGGAAAGAAGCGTCGCAGTTAAGTGGAGATTTTTTGAAATCAGCTTCTATTACTACAGTGTAAGAGTTTTTTGTTTGTTTGGTTCTGTTCCGAGGCAGAATATGGCTTCTAATGGCCTAAAATCTTTGTCGAAGTTCCTACCGTGATCCTACAGTAAAGAAGAGCGATCGATGATTCGCTCCACACAGTATATTCTAAGTTGAACCTTGCACTTGGAGGAAAAATTCTAGTTGTGTAGTCTCGAATTTCCACAAAAAGGGATGGGTAAGAAGAAACGGAAGTTAGTTTAATGCGTGTTGTACCAGCAAGTTCGAAGAAAACTAGAAATAGGTGACTTTGAGTAAACTTCGATTTTTGTATACATGAAAAAGGACTTCACCGATTTTTCTGAAAGATGTGCCTTAGAGAAATTTTTGGAGCGAGGTCCGCAAATGACCTCTAGATTTATATTAGGTTGTCCGGAAATTAATGCCCGTTTTGAATTTCAACCGCAATGAGTCAAACACTTCTCACTTCTAAATAGGTTGCAAAGTACCATTCAACAGAGCAAAGCAAGCTCTACGAGACGGCCATCTTGCTTCGCAACAGCCCTCATACACCTCGAGTTCCGAGCCAAAAACTAGAAAGACTCAGCAGTCCGAAAAATCGAAAAATCGTAACTCATTTCATAAAATTCCTACAAAAATTCTTACTTGCTTACATAAACACTATCCACATAGATCCATATACGCCTTTGCCGTATTTTTTCCTCTGTTAAAAATCAAGAAAACGGAAATTTTTGTGCATTTGCCAAAGTGGTGTTGTGCCTTCCCCACATAGGTAGTTGTATATTACAAATATCTAGAAGTACAAACGTAAATTCTCAGCTCTGCAAGCTTTACCTCTCGAGAAATTTGAATTTTAGCTTGGACCACCCAACTAGGAAGATATTTGGTATTTCTCGAGAACTGAAGCTTATAGAGAGCTGAAAATTTTAAGTCTGTACTTCTACAGGCTTGTGGTATACAACTACCTATGTGGGGATGGCACAGCATCACTTTGGCAAATGCACGAAAATTTCCTTTTTCTTGGTTTCTAACAGAGAGAATAATACGGCAAAGGCGTATATAGATGTTTTATGTGGATAGTGTTTACGTGAGCAAGTAAGAATTTTTGTAGGATTTTAATGAACTGAGTTACGATTTTTTTCGATTTTTTTGGGCTGTTGAGTCTTTTTAGTTTTTGGCTCGAAACTCGAGAGCTGGATGGAGCTGTTGCAAAAGCAAAATAACCATCTTGTAGAGCTTGCTTTGTTCTATCGAACGGAACTCTGCAACCTATTTAGAAGTAAGAAGTGTATGACTTATTGCGACTGAAATTCAAAACGGGCATTAATTTCCGGACAACCTAATATCTGCACAAGGATGTAAATAGAAACATACCAACTGGTTTAGGACTGTGGTTCTGACACAAGGAGTTCACCACCCATATGACGTGAGATACTTCAACGGATTTCTATATTGGACTGATTGGTAAGTTTGTTTTCAGTTGTTTGAAAAAATTAACTTCAAAATTTTTAGGGCCACATCTGCACTGAAAGTGTCGGAGCTGAGCATTCATCATGAATCTGCCCATTCGATACATTCGTTTACAACCTTACCATATGGTTTGGCGATCAATCATACAATGTTCCAGGTAAGAAAAGATTTCCTGCAAATTTTTGCGAATTTATCTCGTCCGTGATTACGGAACTGCGCAATTTTGGCACCTTCTGATTCTAAAACTTATACAAACTCACGATTCAGCCCTCACTCTCTACAAATCCATGCGCCCATAGTGCTTGCGTATGGATGTGCGTGTCGATTCCGAACGCTGAGGGTGAGATGAAACCACGATGTTTATGTCCTGATGGCTACAAAAAAGAGAGAGACGGTAGCTGTGCACCTGTTGAGGACATCTTGGAGGACGACGAGCATGGGAAGCCTTTAGTAAAGAAGAATGGGCCTAAGGTAGGAGATCAGCATAGTTGGTGGAAAAGCAGAGTCTAAGAAAAATTGGCCACTTCTTTAGTGGAAACTGACCGAGGAATCGTGAGCTACTGCCAAAGCGGCAGCTTATTTGATTCATTCACTACCGAAATACGCAGTTCTGAACTATTGCCCACGCACAGTATACTCTTCCCGAGCAGGCCAAGCAGTGGCTTTGGATACAGTATTGGGAGAGAGCTTAGATTTGAATTTTAGGTCCACAAATGGATCATATGAGCTGCCGCTTGGGTAGCAGATTAGTCGTGACCTCCCAAACTGTACTACAAAAGAATTCCGAGTATCCAGATTATCTCACACCGCCTCCACCGTTTGAAGTAAGAGTTTCCTTGCAGGACCAATCCCATGTAGGAGTTGCTTGGATGAAAGAACGTTGTCTAGGAGGTGATGGTTGTCTAAATGGTGGGCAATGTCAGGATATCAAGAATGAGCATGGAAGAGTGGTCAAGATCGTCTGCAAGTATGGCATTCTCAAATCTCTCAGTTTTCGCATGCCCCTTTAAAATCCCCTTGATTCTTAAAATTTGTCAGGTGCAAGACTCCCTATGAGGGTCTGCGATGTGAAAGGCTCAACCCCGTAAAAGCACTAGCCGCTCAGCTTGAAGCTTCAGCTACTCCGCTATGGGTGACATTCTTTTTCGTTCTTCTCTTCCTAGCACTCCTCATCGCAGCATTTGTGTACTCATATCGTCATATTGATGACATCAAGTAATCCTGGACTTCTGCCAGAACTATAAAGTTCGAAATTGGCCTCAAATTCCAGCAAACGAACAGCAACGCTTCTCGACGTGATTGAAAGACGACTGGTAAACATTCCACCGCCTACAATGCCTCATATTCGTCCACTTCTAACAACGATGAAGACAAAGATAGCGTCTACTTTGGGTGCCAGGTATTTATTCATGTTTTCTCTGATTTTTGTTATATGGCTGCCTCAGAGGCCCTCGTAGCTGTACGATACTTCGTAACGAGTTTAGCAATCCTCTATTTGATTCGAGCGATCGGTCCTCGTATGATTCAGCACAGGAAGAGCCAGTCACGGACTCCAATGCGGTAGGACTCCACTATCTTTGAAGGCAGTAAATTTGGTTGCCTGATCTTTTATATGGGAAATCTTATTGGGAAAATTCAACTAATTCGTTGCCTTAGCGGGAATTTATATGACTCGTCTAGGGCCAATAAACTGAAAAGTGAACCTTTGCCCAATATCGTACTCGAGGATTGGTCGGCTCGGAAAGAGTACGTTAATGGACAAAAGTAAATGACTGATTTTTTCGCCCACAAATGATTCATATGAGCTGCCGTTTAAGCAGTGAATTAGTCGTGACTTGCCAATCAGTACCCACATAAAATCCAAATTTGGATCTGCTGGGACACAGTCACAAGGAAAAAAATGATTTCGATACATTTAGATGACGTACAACAACCCATTATACGTTGAAGAAGATGTTACACATGCAGCACCGTTCTCCGGGATTAACGTAACATACACTAATAAATTCGCCACTTAAAAGGAAGTGCCATTTTCCATGCTCCATGCGTTCCACCCCGTGTCGGCTTACTGCATTTCTCTTAATCGAGGATGACTGTCGTAATAACTGTGATAGAAAAGTGATCACTTGAAATATTGATAATGTTTTATGAAAAGTTTTATGAGACTTGTAAATTGCTAGGAATAAAGTTAATTTCTTTCGCATCCACTTCATTTTGGAAGGGAAATATACTGTGGATCGCTATTCTTATAATTCTGCACAGAGCTCAAGATGTGCTTTTACAGTAGTATCTCAAAGATGCTTAATTTAGGGATAGTTACTGGGAAACATTTGCCAGCAGAAACTTGGACAGAGCAACTTGCAATGATTATCTCAAAACTGACCCGCTGACTGTTTTTCAGAATTAGCAGCACCCGTTAGGAATGATGTGGAATGGTGATGAGCAACACCACTTTGTTGCTGCTGTATACTTTAGCACTAGTTAGGAATGGTGTTGAGCAGCACATCTTACAAGGAAAGGATACTTAGTCGAAAGCACCAATCCAGATGAGACATAAATCGTCTTAGAACGCTTGAAACGCTGATTCCAAATCTGTAGTTTCTGGCAGCGGAGCGGTTTTGTAGAAGGAGTTAGAGGGGTATTTCCTTCTGGGGTTGAGGCGCACTCCAGCAGGTCTCTCTCTATCTATGATCACTGTAGAGGAGTACCAACTGGCGGCGACTGGCCTAGTGATAAGTGACTTGCTTGATAAGGGGAATGCCAAGGTTTTAACCCTTTCGCAGGCAACTTTATCGCGATTTTTGCAAAACTGAGCTTTCTAAACGGCTTTGGAGCTCTAAAGCCTGAAATTTTTGATGATTGTGATGCTAATCGAGGTAAGAGGTGTCAAAAAACCAAGGTAATATGAGTATTATAACCCTTACTGTAATCTTCATTCAACTTGTGGCAACTGGCTTACTTACCAGTTACTTACCAGTACTTACCAGTTGGTACTCCTCTACAGTGCTCATAGATAAGGGGAGACCTGCTGAAGGGCGCCTGAGCCCCAGAGGGAAACACCCCTCATAACTCCTACAAAATCGCTCCGCTGCTAGAAACTATAGATTTGGAATCAGCGTTTCAAGCGCTTTGAGATGATATGTGTCTCATCTGGATTGGTGCTTTCGACTAAGTATCCTCTCCCTGTTAGTGGTGCGGAGTTTGCCAGTCAGCCTTCTGCAGTTGTTGAACAGACCAAGCATTAGTCAAAGTGTATGCTGTTGAGCAACATCATTCTGTTGCTGCTGTATTCTTCAGCACTAGTTAAAAATAATGTGGAATGGTGTTGAGCAGCATCAAGCAATATCAGGTTGTGGAATGTTGTTGAGCAACACCACCCTGTTGGTGCTGTAATCTTCAGCACTAGTTGGGAATGGCGTGGAATGGTGTTGAGCAGCACCAAGCAATAGTCAGGTGTGGAATGATGTTAAGCATCACCATTCTGTTCCTACTGTTACTCTTCAGCTAGTTAGAAATGGTGTGGAATGGTGTTGAGCAGCATCAAGCAATATCAAGTTGTGGAATGTTGTTGAGCAATACCATTCTGTTGCTGCTGTATTCTTCAGGACTAGTTGGGAATGGTGTGGAATGGAGTTGAGCAGCACCAAGCAATATCATGTTGTGGAATGTTGTTGAGCAACACCATTCTCTTCCTACTGTTACTCTTCAGCACTAGTTGGAAATGGTGTGGAATGGTGTTGAGCAGCATCAAGCAATATCAAGTTGGGGAATGTTGTTGAGCAACACCATTCTGTTGTTGCTATATTCTTCAGCACTAGTTGGGAATGGTGTGGAATGGTGTTGAGCAGCACCAGCTTGTTGCTGTGACTTCGCCAACGTCAGACTTCCGCAGTTCTTGAGCAGCACCAAGCAATAATCAGGAGTGGAATGATGTTAAGTATCACCATTCTGTTCCTACTGTTACTCTTCAGCACTAGTTAGAAATGGTATGGAATGGTGTTGAGCAACACCATTTCTTTTCCTGCTGTATTCTTCAGCACTAGTTAGAAATGATTTGTAATGGTGTTGAGCAGCACCACCTTGTTGCTGCGACTTCGCCAACGTCAGACTTCCGCAGTTGTTGAACAGCACCAAGTAATAGTCAGGTGCGGAATGGTGTTAAGCAACACCATTCTGTTCCTACTGTTACTCTTCAGCTAGTTAGAAATATTGTGGAATGGTGTTGAGCAGCACCAATTTGATGCTGCGAAGTTACCGTAACCCTTCTGCAGTCGTCGAGCAGCACACCAAGCAATAGTCAGTGTGTGGAATGGTGCTGAGCAACAACATTGATGCTGCTCTGTTCTTCATACTGGTTAGGAATGGTGTGGATTGGTGTTGAGCAGCACGAACTTGATGCGGAGTTACTGTCAGCCTTCAGTAGTTCTTGAGCAACACCACTTTGTTGCTGTCATACGATTCAGCGTTAAATAAGAATGGGGTGGATTGGCTAGTGCTCGTTCCATAATTTAGCACGATGTACACTCCTTGTTTTTTACCTTTTTCGCCGCGGGTGACAATCCCAGATAAAAAAGAACTTTTGTTAACCAAAAGCGACGAAAGCAAAGTCAATATGCCCTTTCGTTGTGACAGCTGACCTGAGTATTTGCCGCTGAGTCTTGTGGCATAGCCCAGTAGCGAAATTCCTGAGAGAAAGAATATGCTCTTATCAGTGCTGATAAAACGCTCAGGTTTACACAACCGCATTTTTGATCTGCATCATAAATTCAGCTTCTCCTTTACATAAAAAAGCTAACCAAGACTAGGAAGAACCTCAACTCAAATATACCAGACCTAAATCTTTCGAGCCAATTTTGCACCTCATTCAAGCAGAACCAGACCTAGCAAAAGTGCTGTCCACGATAGTTGCCGCTTCATTACCTCAACCTCTGGTCTATGCATATTTATGTCGATTACACGTACTTGAAAACTTCCCTATGCAATGATTGCTGTTTGCTAGGTGATACATCGAAACTTACAAGCTTCTGTAACGTGTGCAACGACTGCCGATGTGCTCCTCCTTCCGGATAAATGGTCTTCTGCACATTCGATTGCATACCGTATTAGGACCAGAAGTCCATGAAAGCAGTGCCTTCTGGTCTAAAACTTAAGTAACAGGTAAGTCAAGTAGTGGTGCAAAAAAAACTTTTTCTTGTTCCTCTATGCGACTGTACATTTCAGCAATATGTATGACACCTGTTGCATTTGTTATACAACTAAAATATACATTCGGAAACACAGCAGATTTACATAGACTTAATCGCATTGCTCATGTATTTCCATATGCTACTTCTACAAAAGTGAGTACATACAACTGCATCAAAGCAATAAGAGTCATCAAAAAAGAAGAGTGCTCGGCAATGGAGTTATCATTACAATCACACGTACATAATTCGACTTGATACAACACAAGATGTTAAGGGGGAAAAATGGAAATATTCACAAAAGTCATTCTATAAGACGGGATAAGTTGGTAATAACTCACACCTGCGGCAAAGAAGGCAACACAGGTGGGATCAGAGAGAAAGAAAAACGGAGATTAGGGACATACATATAGTAAAACGGTCTACTGGGTAAGAAGTGGCCAAGTGCGATGGGAATGCGGCATACGAAGAGAAAGCATATCAAGATGCTAAACGTATGTTGGCAAAACAAAAATAAGTTTGACGCCACAGCGAGTCAGCCACCATGATATAGAGAAAGGGAAAAGTATACCTATCAAACGTTGGGCACAAACATTAGTCGCTAATCATGAACGTACAAAGCCCGAAACATGAAAACTGGGAAAAAGGAAGAAGGTGGACAGCTAATGAATGAAAAATGTGCAGCTACTAACCAAGCACCGGTGGTCTGCAACAAACAAGAACTACATCGTCACGAAAGCGAACAGTTATAAACTATGACGTACAATTTTCATGGCGATAAAGACAGCGAAGCTAGAGCTTTGAGCAACTCATATCACAGTGATCCACATTCATCATAAATCATACGATAGGTTGACCTGAAAGACAAGATCTAAATGCTAAAGAAATGCTGGAGCGTCATTTACCATCCATCAAGCAGTAAACTCAGCGGGAGGAGCTTCTTCCTCTTCTTCAAGTTCACTTGGAGGTGGGGTCTTCTCTTTCGCTACATGTTGTCGGGTGTCCTCGTCATTAGTCGTTTCCTCCTAAAAATTCAACAAAACTTTATTGAGATTCCATAGCTATGCCAAAACATATTAAACATCATTTGACTCTGATTCATTTACTTACCAAACTCGAAGAAACAAAGTCTCCTTCAAAAACTACTAGAATTGAACTGCCTCTAGCTACACAAAAAAGGGAAAAACTGAACCAACGAAAGTAAAGACGAATAATATAGCAATTACGAGAAAATACGCTCACTTTCTTCTGATCAGCCCGTGAAGTTCGTGCGCACTTGGTGACCAGATGCTCAAAACTTTGCTTCTGCAGTAGCCCAACGATAACTACCTGAAAAAAAGCGCAATAACATTATGCACTTTCACCAAAGGAAAAAAAAACTTACAGTCATATTATCACATCCTACGCCGCCCATTTGTGCGTCGGGTGCCAAGCATCGGGTAAGTAGTTCTTCACAGATCTGAAGAATGAGTATTAAAGAATGAAACACTATAATCACAGCAAAACAAAAACACAACTTCTTCGCCTAGATGAATCATGGGCAAATATTAGGTTGGGAAGAAAAGAATGTCGCTTTTTATGTCCCCCGTTATGTCATCGCAACAAGATAAACCCCAAAGACATGTATTGGGTACCATTCGATGAGCAAAGCTCTACAGACTGGCTTTATTGCTTTTGCATCAAGATTTATCCATGTAAAGTTCAAAAACGGAATCTAAAAAGTTTCAAATGACCGAAAATAAAAAAATCGTATTGGGGGTCCGTCCAAAAAACTTCTACGGACCCCCAACTCGCTCAGGGACTTACTCCTTCATCAAATCTTCATATGCGCAGTTGCTTTGATTTTTTGGCTGGAAATCAAAACAGAAAATTTTCACATTTCTACCATAGTGGTACTGGGCTGTTCCCGCGTATCTTTATACTATTTAGTTTAGAAAGTACAACGATGGATTTCCAGCTTCTTAAAGTAGTCAGTTCTAGAGAAATATCGAACTTAGGTTTTCTCCCTCTATTTTCCAAATTAAATCCGACATTTCTCGAGAACTAGTTCTTGCAGAAGGTTGAAAATCTACGAATGCATTTTCCAAACTTAGTAGTATAGAATCACCTATGCGAGAACAGCCCAGCATCACTTTGACTGACATGTGAAAATCTTCGATTTTTCAATGTTTAGCCAATGAAGAATTACAGCAACCGCGCATATGAATGTTTGATAAAGGACGTAAGTCTCTGTAAAAGTCGGGTGTCCGCAGAAATTTCTTCGACGCTGATACGGATTTCTTTTTGATTTTTCGGTCATTTGAAACCTTTTAGATTCCATCTTCTAATTTCACGTGAACATGACTTGGTGCAAAAGCAGTACAGCCATTTTGTAGAGTTCGCTTTACTCTATCGAATGGTACTCGATACATGTCTTTGGGGTTTGTCTTGTTACGATTTATGAGGAGATGAAAAGCAACATTCCTTTCTTTCTAACCTAATTAATAGCTCAAAAGACAGCGTAAAAAGATAGTATGCGGTAATTCGACTTAATGTATCCCCAGTTAGCTGGCATCGTACATCCGGATGACGACGAGTATTTAGCCACACTCTCTCCCCTCTCCGATCATGGAATGAGGAAAAAGATTCGAGGGCAATCAAGAGCTTATCTTCACAGACAACAAACACAATTATGGAAACAACGAAAATTTGTGAGCGCTAGAGCAAACATTTTTGAAAACCGATCGATTAATTTAGGCAAAATTCGGAAAAATGAAGATAACACTCACCGTTTGAGGGTCTCTATGTTCGGCTAATCTCTCTCGTACAAAATCAACAACTTCTTGATTACTTAGCACATCCCAAATGCCGTCACATGCTAACACTATGAATTCATGATCATCAGTGATATTCTCGGAAATCACATCGGGATAAGCTGAAAATTGCATAAATTATGATCTCAACACCGTCAGCATTGTAATCATAGCGATAGAAATTGCGAGTACCAATTTTGGACTTTGACCGAATTAGGAAAAATATTATAACTAGCAAAAGGTGCTGCCGATAAATCAGAAAAAAAGGGAAATGCCCATCATCAACAGATAATGTTCCCCTCAGAGAAACAGGGGAATAAAATGCATTTTTCCAAGTCTTTTCTTTTAACCACAAGTGCTTTCGTTCATTAACTTTTAGCACTGCAGTCAAACTGAGAACAAAACGGTTCATTCTCCCCTCTCCTTTTCTTCGGCTCCAAATTCAAACAAGCATAATAATCTCTTAGGTTGCCGGACATGCGAAACAATGGCAGGCAACGACGCGATAAACAATAATGGGATCAGAAATCATGCAGACGTCATCGGATTTGTTTGATGATTTGCGTCGAGCAAAAGTAGCGGATAACGTGTACCATATATGGACTAAGTTTTGTTTGAATTCTCAATCTAAAAAACGCCTTCATCTCCAACCTATGACCATAATAAAGACCATTACCAATTTTTGTCTGTGCACACCATTTGAATTAGTGTGAAGTTCTGTCAATTTCACAAGCAGTCTGAAACTAGGTATTCCCCCATTAAAGAACGCGATGTCTTATCAATTTATCAACAAAAGTGTTGCTCAATCAAACTAAAAAAAAAAACAATATATGACTACAGTGCGGTGATAACATGGGTGGGGCGATAACTCCAACTCCCCTATTAGTGAACGGATGGGCCAATTTCATAAGATCAAGAACCAAAAAAAAAAAGACGAGCACTTACCAGTAACGATCTGTTCCTCTGGTGGGATAGATTCATTTCGTTTGAATACAAAATCACCAAGAGCACGTGAAAGGGCTAGATTACCATTAACGCGATTGAATTCTACCCAGCCACCAGCAGCAAGGATTCTTTTAGCCTGATTAGAATAGCATGATTTAGAGTATAATATGATGAAATACAATTAGTATCTACAAGAAAAGGAGATAAAATAAAAAATCTCAAAGCAAAATAAAATTCTAACCGTCATCAAAATATTTGAAGGAAATATGTTTATTTTGCTAGAAAGTCAACTGTGCAAAGCGAAAATAGCATCGTCATAAATCAAACGACTCGTGCGGAAAAGCGCGGCTTACCTCTTTTTCGTTGGCTGGCTTGTGGTCATACGACAGCGGTCGAGCTTCACCACATACTGACACGACAGCTCGTGAATCGCCAACATTTGCTTAAATAGACAATAAACCCTTTGTCACCAAGCATATTGACAACTGATCAATGATTATTTTTATGCTACGCAAATATGTACCCTACCATCATCCGGGCAATCTTGCATAAATCACAAACACAATAAGAACGCAGTCCAAGGCGTTAAAAAAAAGATATTGAAAGGCTCACCACAGTGGATAACATCGTCTTTCACCAGTACTACAACTGCTGTGGCACCCGAGACATCGTCTCGCATTTCATCGTCCGACCGCATTTGCTCATCCAATGCCAAAAAGCCTTTCCTCAATGCTTCGGGTAAATTGCCCTTTGCTGAAATATGATATATCTGACGCAAGAACAATTCTAGCTAATTTTTCGAATAAACATCATATATAACCGGCTAACGATGGGTAAGAAAAACGAAGTAACGAGAATAAACGCACCATAATCAGCCTGCTGAAGAATCTGCTTGTGTAAATTGATTCCAGCAAATTGTGATGCCTTAGGACCACCATGACCATCATAAACAGCAAAAAACGCACATCGTGGATCATCTGGTAACGATAGCAGGTGTGTGTGCGCATCTTCCATATCTGCAGAGAATATATTTCCACACAAACTTTGCGCAGAAGCCTAACTGGCAAAAAACTATAACTGAGGAAAAAACAGCCTAAAAAGTAAATGAAGAAGGATGTAAATAACTCACTTATTCGCCATCCTTGCATACATGAACTGCCCACAGTGAACAATTCGTTAACACATGAAGCGGATTCCTTTGTGGTTACCGGTTCGCTCAAAGTCTGTCCCATTAGTGAGTATCCAGGATAAAAAGCTGAACTACCTGAAAAATCACCTTAGGTCGTCATAATCACAGTTGGACATCGTATCATATGCGTCACGACAGGACATTTCCAACAAGAAAAACTTGAAGAAAAAAGGATGGATATAGAAAGACGTCAGATCAGAGACCGAAGTCTTTGTAGTTTTTTGGCTACTGAAAGTAAGCACTAACGGGGCATTAAAAACACAACTGTAAACACAATTATTTATAAGTCAGTGTTAGAATAAAAGTCACACAATGTGTGACTGCAATATCGAAAATCATTGAACTCCTTCTCCCTGCTGGTAAAGCAAGCTTTTTAGAACCGATAAATGATAAGAAGCAAAGTTATGACCTCGAATGATTCAAGCACGTGCAAATAACAGCAGCGTAAACAATGTGCACAATACGTTGTTGCAAAGCTAAAAATCAATAACAAACCTACTGAATCCCCCATTCAATAATCGCTTTGTGCCGCGATTCTCTCACGATAATAAAAACAAAAACAGGAAGACGTTGCCAACATGGCAGAAAAGTGCAAATACGTGTACTGCACAGCTATGATTCGAAAAAAAAGGAAAACATCCGGTTACCTAACCTTAATATTCAGAATCCCTCTTCCTCATAAGTTTAGAACAAGGCCGCTCAGTACAAAATTCGCACTCCAATATAACTGCATTTTTGCATTCAAATGTGCAACTGCACAACGCGCACAGTAGTGCACCCACGGGCAAAATGGACCAATGTAACCTACCCGACTCAATCACGAGCAATTTACGCAACACGACCATGTATTGTAAAGATACAGAACTGATTTCATAACTGTTGTACCACAATGGTAGCAGACATGGTAGTGCAGACGATAAAGCTCATCGCAACTTGCTAAATAAGGTACATTTCGAGTACAAAACATCTGCATACAGAATATGAGAGTAAGTACGAAAAACAAGCTACGAGTTCAAACGATCAATTTGGGTTTTTTCTTCGCATTTGGCTTCGCATGAAATAAGGAAAAAAATAATAAAATGACCAATCTGACCCCCAACAATAGCAAAGTCTTTAATGACGCAAAACTACTAATCGGCAACTATCGGAGTTCGGAGCGTCACATGACGTATGATAACGTGACCTACGTGGGTTTTCGGCGCGCATGGAAAAAGGCGCGCGCAACTTTCACCAATCTTTACAACGTTTTCTTGAATACTCAAACAAACCAAATCATATCAAAATGTAAAGCAAATACTACAGAATTCAAATCTGTAAACCCCCTCAAACAAGTTTTCCCCCAAGCGTCCAATGGCAAAATAAGATTTCCGCAGCTGTGAACACATTGCCAGACCAGTCCCTCGTTGACTCTTCCTACGCATTTTCTTGCTTGTCTGATGATGCATGCGGTTCAACATCTCGCCAAAGTATGAGTAAAGAAATCGAGTATCGATCAGTCGTTGAAACCCATTCTCCTTCGGACTAGAGTGTAGACAATTACGAGATGGGAAAATGGAGAAAAAACTGGGCTCCACACCGGATGTGAAGAACAAGGACAGTGAAAAAAAGAAGAACTTGGACGTCATAGGGAAAGCAAATGCGGACAACTATACGCATCGCGCCTTGAAAAAGCTTAAAGGCAGCGTCCAGGCAGACCTGGACCTATGGGGCTTTTACGTGGAAAGTACTTTTGGGACCCTAACTAAGGCACTGCCCAAGCGGCAGCTCAGGTAGTGCTTTAGTGGCTGAGATACTCCCTTCGAAACTGGACCCCGCGACCGTGTTTCGCATGGATTCATGGCGCAAAGCGTGGATCCTGGCGCGAAACTGCCATGAATCCATGCGAATACGTTCGCGGGGGCCAGTTTCGAGGGGAATATCTCAGCCATTAGAGCTCTACCTGAGTTGCCGCTTGGGCAGTGCCTTAGTTAGGGCCCCAAAAGTACTTTCCACGTAAAAGCCCCATAGGTCCAGATCTGCCTAGACGCTGCCTTTAAAGTGACGACATACTTTCCTTCAATTTCTGCTCGACTGTACGCGACTGCACAGCATCAATTCCCACACAGCGACGAGATCATAGCCTGTTCCACCGAGAGTGTCACAGCTCCAGCGACTGCGCCCTCGCGAGTGCCGCTTTGACTTGACGCCCGTTCGCGCGTACCTGGAGACGTTTTCTCAAGCAGCGACAAAAGTGGAAGATGTTCAAATTCGCGAACGCGACGCAAGGCCGAGCAAGGCTGTGACATTCTCATTGAGACAGCCTATAGGTACAAGACTCGCATTTTTTCGGTTTTTTCCTTTACCTTAAATATTTACTATGTGTCTGTGCTATTCACCTTGAAAGACGCAAATAAAAACAGTCGTGCTCACTCGGCGAGTCAGCTGGTGTAACTGCACCACTTATATCTCCACCGCAGCAGGCCAGTGACTGATCAACATCAGTTTGAAGAAACATGGTGAAATGGCGAAGAGATAGGTAGATGCCAGACTTATCCACTTCAACCGATTCATCCTATTCACCCCACTCGCTATTGATCAGTTCAGTGAATTGACCAATAGCGAAAGGGTGAACCGGATGAATCGGTTGAACCTGATAAGACTGGCACCTATCATGAGAACAGACAACAAAGCGTCACACTTCAACACCATCGTCTCATTTTCCAAAAACGATGCATTTACGTATATATACACAGGCTCGCCATACGAACACGACTGTATGTACATTTATATCAACTATTTTTGGATCGAACAGAAAAAAATCTCGTTGTTTGCGGAGTCGACCTCTAAGCTGTGTGGGCACACGCTCAAAAATTGAGTGTACGTAAGAATTCATTAGCGCATGCAAGTCCTCTTTTTGAGTCAAAAATGCAGCGAAAACTGCGTCATCCTCACTAAACAGCTTAAACCTTGCATCTGCGAATGATAATTCTTACAAGAAGAAAAAGACTGACGAGAATTGACGAGAATCCAAGGGTGACAAATAGGCGACTACAGATGCCGCGCTCTGTTGCCAACGTTACAAAAAAGTCGCATGCCATGAGATTCGAAGTTTGGTGGAGAAAAAACCATGTGTGCGACTTCTAATCAAGCAAGGGTACTAGCGAGAATCGTCACTGGGAAATGGCGCAATTAGAAAAACTAACACTGTGAAATTTACGCCTATTTCTTGAACTCGTCGTGTGCCATGGAAACTAAGAATCTTGTGGCAAAATCTTGTTGCGAGATAGATCATACTGATGGTAAATGAAAGTAAAAAGCTCACTCAATGCCAGAAAAGATGAATGACTTTGTGCATTGGCACAATGAAGCTAATTTCTAAAGTAATTCTGTAATTCTGGAAACAAAAATGTAGGTCCAGCAAAAACGAGGATTAGGCGGGTGGGCGCTTTCAAAACCGAAAATATACTATCCGTATAACAGCGGATGGTGCATTTTGCCTGGTAGATTTGATTTGATTTTAAAGCGTTGCTGCAGGCCGACAGCAAAAGCGCAAAGAAACTGCAGTGCAGTGCTTGGGAATGTCGAATTTCCGCGTAAATATGGCCATAGAGCGCACACTCACAAAAGTCTGTTCTGCAGCCACTTTCACGCGCGAATGATGTCGGCAATCCAGTGCACTAAACTGCACATCTTTTTTGAAACTGAATTCCAGAAACTAAAATGTATATTTTTGTGCTTTTTAAGCTTAAATCAACGTAAAGAACTATTGACCGTTGATTAGTTTTCACAAAGAATATAGTTTAGAACACTAGTCTACAAACTCCCCAAAGAAAAACCCAAGTAGCAAGCGCCGAAACGCGACAATCAGGCGTTGTGCACGACGGCGCTGTGATTGCCATCGTTTTTCTCGCATTATGTGCATGTCGAGACCACCACCCGAGAAATGACAATTCTATGACAAGCTCTGAGACACAGTATTTTGATGATAGGTTCACAACAAAGAACAATCAGAACAAAGCAACTACGACACGAACACCTAACGAAGCAAATCGACTCGTTCATGACTACAGCGGGCAGCAAACAAGCAAAGTGGCACCTCCGCATTCGATAAAAATGCTCAAGCGTAATGAGCAAAAACTTCAGTGCCAAGATATTTATCGAATTTTCCGCTCAAGTGAACTGTGTTGAGTAAAGGCCATACAGAGGAAAAAAACGTCGCGTTCATATGGAACCGGTAATACCTCTCTTCATGGAGGCCTAGTACGTATATGCCGATAAAACACGATACTTATCTAATCGCATCTGCAATTAGGAAACTATATAGTGCATACAGCCAATGTTCTCCGCTTAATCTTGCCAAATGACGTTGTAGAAACCTCAGATCAACAAATAAGGGAATCCCTTTCACGTTTTACAGCATGATAAGGCACTGAATGAAAGATCAAGAATAGAGCTATTTGAGGAGAATTTTCACGGGTATCGGAACCTCTGAGATGTCAGTGCTGTACGATGTAGGTCCCGCAAGTATACAACAGGACAAACTAAGCAGAAGAACCGAGTCTGCAACTGAAGAGATTAGTCCAACCTTAGAATCACTCCGTTTACTTACAATTTACCGAGGAAGAAAACAGTAAATTTCTCAAAGTAAAGATGACAAATTGCGCCAGACCACACACAGCATGTATCGTATAGCCTTTCTGAAATGTGAGAATTTTTTTCTTTGACATTTTCACACACTTTGAAGCCCAGGGTTCAAATCGACAATATAGCAAGAAGCTAAGAACTTGAATTCAAACTTTGGCGTCACACCACCTTTGACGTAAATGGTGTTCTTCACTGACATGGAAAAAAGTACGAATGAATGCCAAGGAAACAATTTGATCGAGATAGAATAAAAAGTCCCATTCGGCCCTATCACAAGTCTCACTCAATTCACACTTCGTCGGCTTGAGTTTACCCTAGATTGTTCACAAGATCTGACTGAGAACTGCCCGTCAGACTTTATTTATCAGGCGCCAGTCTCTGCTGCGTCTTTGTTTTTGCAATGGAGTTCTCGATGGTCGAGGCACTTGCCGTCGATAAAATTTGCAGCAACCAAGCGACGTGATGCAATTAGTTCCCATTAGCTTTTGAAAATTGTTAGGACGATTGCATTACGATTTTAGGATGGCAGTTATAGAAAGAGGGAAAGCAAACAGCAGACAAATTCCAAAAAAAGATATGAGCCACAGATAAGGAAAAATCTTTAGAGTAATGCAAATTCCACTTCTAGTGGCTAGTAAGAAGCTCTAGCTTGAGAATGTCAAATGCAAGCAATTGCAAACGATCAATACCTCAAAGTAGCGCTTTGTAAGCGTTCGTGAGAGGCGAACAAAAGAAAGAAAGAACAATGAAGGCTGCCAGACGGCAATAGCGAAGAAATGTAATAATTTTGACAAATTTCGTGAGAAAAGAAAGAATCAAAGCAACATACCTGCAATCCAAGTGCCCGTCAAACCATGGCGAGTATGGACATCTGTTAGCCTTATAGGAGTGATTCTAGGGCTGCGATGACGCTGGATACGACGAAGCGCAAGACTCATGGCACTCAGACATTAGAAGAAATCCAATAGATTGAGAGAGGAGAGATGGAATAGATAGCAGGTGGCTGCCTCACTTAAGTTTTTTAGGGGGACAACACTGCTGAGGCAGTCAACATGGGACAAAGGGTCAGTTACATGGAGGTCAGGCTAAATATTGACTAGCCGAAAACATGTGTAACACGCTTGTGAAATATTATCTTTGTCCTCGATAATACTCCTCGTACATTCACTTCTTCCAAGAAAAAAAATCTGTTTTCTTTTCTCTTTTTTTTTTGAGAGAACTGAATGTGCGAGGTAGACTTATTCTTATTGTTATTGGTTACTTTTTCATGTCAAAATCTGTGGCAACCACCACCAGCATTTCGCCGTTTTCGTAATATCTACATGTTTCTTTTGATCAAAGGGTAATTTCAAATGCGCCTATTCAGGTGTAAGTTTCCGCTTTATATTTCCGCTCGAAGTCCATGAAAAATGAGCTGAACGGAACTAAAGTTTTGGTAAACTATACATGTGAATGCACGAAATTTTTCTTCGAATACTTTTGCAGAACTCATGTTTATTGGACCATTTCAATTCCTGACTAAACAAAATTACGAAATTTACCATATCCAGAGGTGACTAGGGATTCTACGCAAACATATTTCTAAAAATATTCTAAAGTTCAAACAAACGCACGATGATTTCCACCGCAATATAATATCGTTCTTTTGAATCGTCATGTTTCCAAGCGAGTATGACAAGGCTAGTTTTGCAAAACAAAATGCAAGTGGCATACAGGAAACAGTTTTTTCCCCTAAAGCAATCATCTAATCGACAGGATGACGAAGATATATTAATGTTGCAGTTGCAGGACAAAACGATATTCTATCAGATGCATTTTATCCAGCTTAATTGCCTATATTAGCACCTACCTACGCTCTCCCTCACAAAAGCAGTAATTGCTTTGAGTTTATTCTTGTCAAGACAAAAACGGCAATGCATTGCACAAGATGTTTCTAACCGTGGAACTTTGCATACGAGTGGTTTTTATTTTGTGCAACGTATCATCGCAAGCTCTGACGATAATTAGCAGTTCACTCATGCATTCGGTATCTATGTACGTGTCATCCGCCCAGATTTTACACGCTACACTAGATGAAGAGGACAGACCTCAAAAAACGTGAAAACCGAAATATGAGTAGTTTAGAACGGTGCCCTCGTCAATGTGTGCGATTAGACATTTTCTAGGATTAACCGGTCCCAAGGTCTAATATTGATTTTCTTGTGTTTCTTCTTGGTCCTTTGTTGTTTAGGCACAACTGTTTGAAGAAGCAGAAGTGATCATATGTCACTTTTTACGTGGGAGACCTGCGTCTTATGGCACCCGCCATACTTGATCCGCTTAATCCACTTGATCCGCTTGATCCGCTTCACTATTGGTCAGTTCACTGAATTGACCAATGATGAAGCGGATCAAGCGGATCAAGTGGATTAAGCGGATCAAGTATGGCGGGTGCCTATGGCCACATCCCGGAAAGTGTGCAATTGCACATATTAACAGTGAAATCTACACGACTCTATGGTCATTAATAGAATCGTAACGACGCATTTGACTGCAATCTCTGCGCCTACAGTAGCATATTTACTCGTAAAAAAGGGACACGTCAACGCCCAGCTCAATCACTTCCGGTGTCTTGATACTAATATACGTAATCAGAAAAAATCATTCAAGCAGGATTGAAAACCAAGAAAATGCGGCTACCAAGAATGCGTGCGTGTTGCGCGCGGTAGCGTCATTATCACGATTTTTCGGATGCCCTTTACTTGTCAAATAGGTTTCCTTGTTTATGTGTGTATTTGCACATCTTCCAGGATGTTGTATGTGCGCAAGTTTTCCAAGTAGAAAGTGCATGAGATGTAATCACTGAATTTCCTTCAAACGGGATAGTAAAAAGAGCAAGTAAAGCAATATCTGGGCTCAATGGTCAAGCGCATCTTGAGTTTTGTGCGATAGGACATATCAGCAAAAAATCTTAGTCGATTGTACAGTGAGGCTATAATGAAACTATAATTAGAAGTAAACTTACCCGTATTTCTATCAGCCTTCGGCTAATTATGAAAAAAAAACCTAATGGAAGACTGCGATTCCATTTGAAAATTTCCAAAAAAAAAAGAAGCGAAACTATAGCCATACTCTGAGACACTCATGCTCTACTTTCTACATGGAAATGACACCAAAAATCTTTTTTTTTGGATGAATTCATGAGAGGGTAAGAATGCACACCAACGCAGCTAAAAGTCGATCGAACTCGAAGAAAGAGCTGAAAATTTCGCACAAAGTGGAAGGAGCAGTAGCGCAACGACATGCAAATGGGCCCATAATCGAACGAACCACGCCAGCACATGGCTGCTGCGGTGGATGGCAGCAGCCCGTGTGCCCCCGTGTGTGTGCGCGCGCTGCTATCGGACTTCCTGCCAATCCGCGCGCAGAATCGTCGCCAACCTTTCGAAAGCGGCGTGACACCTGGTAACAACACTCTAAGGACAAAAGTCATGTGTAGACCGTAAAGTACAATTGGATTTATGACGAAGCCAATGACTTCAGTTATGAAAAGTAGAGCCAGATAATGCTAAGTACTCAATGAATAATATAGCCTAGCAGAGTTGACGGCGATTGATTGATCTTGCGGAGATGACAACACCTGCGCGGAGATTTTGGACTAATAGAGGTGCCAGACTTATCCGGTTTAACCGATTCGTCCCGTTCATCCCTTTCGTATTGGGCAGTTCAGTGATATGACCAATAGCGAGTGGATGAACTCGAAAAATCGGTTTTAACCAGATAAGTCTGGTACCTAGTAGGCTGCCGATAACGCTTACGCGCAGAAAATAGCTCTTAGGCGCACTTGGCACCATAGCCGATTTTCACGCGCAAATGTTGTCGGCAACGCAAGATTGTTACAGTTAGGCATCGTCGATTGATTTGTAAATCAATATGGTATAACATATCAACCCGCTAATTTACGACTTGTAAAACTATACATTGTTGAGTTGCTAGATTTTCCTTGTTCCTTCCTCTCTTTTGCCTTTTGGATACATACTGAGTAGTAATACGTATTCACAGTTTGTTCCGATGGAAAATTTCCGTGATGGGTTACTATCAAGGCGCCGTCGGTTTCTGCGCACAATGTGCAGGCTCACATATTGAATTACAAATGTCTCGCACTATACCAAACGACAGGAGAAATCAACGTCTTTATGAATCTGCGTGCACGTAATTTATTACACATCGATTTAACAATTATAAGGTTGACAACTGCTATGATTTCAGCAGTTTTTGACATTTTGTGCTCTAAGAACCCTGCTATTTCTAATTTTCAAAAGATGATAGGTTTAGGCGCCCTAGTAAGCGGGGTAGAAACTTGATCCCTACGGTTAATGCCTTCAGACAGATAAACAACACGCACGCCTGCTTCGAAGACACTTTAAAGTCTGCAATTTCTTCAATGCGGGAGATAGGAATGCAAAAAATTGATTTCGAAAATAAGAGGCACAGCTAACGGTAGTATATCAAGTCAATAAAATCTTGACAAGAACAATAAATGAAAATCAGAAAGCGAGAAGAAAGAAAAAGAGCAGAGACCCACAAAAAAATAACTCTGCATAAACCTTACAATTGAGAAGTGAAAAATTCCAAAGAAAACACGTAGCAGAAGTCAGAGCCAGCAATTGTGCATCTCTGAGACTTTACTATGAGTAAAAAAATGGTGCAGTCGATTAGCTAGTCCTCGTGAGAATTAATTATATACAGATTTACGCCAAACTTATTACAAGCTACGTAACGCAAGCACCTATAAGATGTTGTCCTCACAGTGCAACTGATTCTTGCGCAAGTATGTCATGACTGTACAACTTACTTGATTTCCACGATCAGTAAAGTGCAGTTAATAACTAAACGAAGAAAATGTGGTAAAGTTCATAGTAATACAGCCAATTTCAATGAGGATTGCTTATTGATGATTGGTTGAAGCCGATTTTAATAATGACCGGTTTATATGGAAATGTCACAAGCTGAGCAAATTTATTGTTTCTGTCGAAGTGAAAAATGTCACCTCAATTATGTTGTTACAAGTGAAGAATATTAGACGCATCGGATATGTTCTTTTGCCTTTTGTGAGAAAATTCTTCTAGGTAATGAAATGGTATTTTCCTAAGATCCGAAGCACAATAGTTTCTCACTCATACTCACCCGAAAAATCAAAATAAAGGGTTCCGCAAAAAAAATGGCTAAAGGGGTTATTTGTCACGCTAACGAGGTATGCCCACAATGTGAAAATCTCAAAAAAAGAAGTCTCAAATCGGGCTGTTGTATCTAGAGTTGTCCTAGATTCGCCCTTCACTGGTAGTCAGATTCGCGTTCTATCTACACTGAAGTCCGCTCCTTAGTTCAATTATATTCAGAACACCCACGTTGATGGGCGGAGCCACCAGGGCAACTCCTACTTTCTGGAGCAATTTTCTCATTTACAATCCATCTTTTGCAGCGGATTGGGCGATTGAATAGCAATGGACCTCGCTATGATTCAGCATCAAGAACTAAGAATTCCCAGTTCGGGTGGACGGTGCCTTTAACCCACGGGAGCGGTAATCGGAGACTAGAGGAAATCCAGCGGGTCAAAGGCAGCGTCCAGGCAAATCTGGACCCATGGGGGCTCTCATGTGGAAAGTGATCTTGAGGCCCTAAATAAGCTCTATTCAAGCGGCAGCTCAGATAGTGCACTCACGGCTAAGATACTGGGCTCCAAACTATGCCCCGTGACTGTATTCGCATAGATTCATGGCTCGGCACATCAGTTTCGCGTGGATTCTCGTGTCTTGTCTAGGGCCTCAAGATTACTTTTCACGCGAGAGCCCCATAGGTCCAGATTTGCCTGGACGCTGCCTTTAAGCCTACCTCTGGGTTCCAGAACAACACAACAAGCCACCTGACCCGCAAAAGAAACCATGGATTCGCACGTCAA